GTGACCACCGAAGAACAACAATGCACACATCGCCTTTGTGGCTTTCATGTCTGCAGCCATATGCAACAAATTATTTGTTGTAGGTAAACAGATATCACATTTAAAACAACACATGGTGTGTAATAATTCTTGAGTGCTGAGACCAGCTATGGAGACAGTGTTGTTCCTAACAGCCAATACAAAGAAAATAAATTAATTACTAGGCATAATGATCATTAATGTACCTGCCAGGCACAGGCTTACCAGGGCATTAAGTTCCTAAAAGAGACAGTTAGCATGGAGCAGCAAAAGTGCTCCCTGCACACATTATTTATGCTCACAGTGTTCCTTATTTACTAATATCTTTTATGTGCTGTTACCAGCTGCAAACTTTAAATCATGCATAATATAAAATACATAAGAATGGGACCAAAAAAAAAAAAAAATCTCAACACAAACCTATTGAAGTCAGTGAATAAACACTAAGTCAGTCCTCTCTAGGTTAGCTGTTTAGAGATGGCACTCAAATAAGAAGTAGACTCTAATAATTTGGCAGTGTATGTGTATTTCTGTAACTTTCATTTGGACCTTCTTTATGGGGAGAATAAAGCGGGGGAGTGAAGCAGACAAGAACACTACAATTCTTATACAGAAAACAATAATGAACATTGTAAATCCAGCTGGGAGAACAAACAGAGATATTTCAAATACAGACCAGATGCTTATCAGATCCCTGAAGAAGCAGTTCTTTTTATTTCAGTAGATCTGCTTATGTCCACCATTGAGTTTTCACCACAATACTTTGGTTGTTCTTGATTTCTGTAAATTTTGTATTAAGGGAGTTACTGGCCAGAATGTCCAATAACACCTTACATGACCATATCAGAATATCTCTAGAAAGTAAATTTGTAACTGATGAACTTCTATATTAACCACAGAAACTAAAAGTTAAACTAACTTTGAGTGCAATAGAAAGAACAAAGACAGATTTTATCTCAAATATTCTTACTGCAGCCACCAAAGATTATTTTACAGGACATAATTTTGAATGTTGAATCTGATTTTAAAAGCCAAAAACTACTCCTTTAGCAATCCACCTTTACAAAAGTGTCCAGTCACCATTAGTGAGCAGAGGCATACATACTATCCTTACAAACAATGTTTGGAATAAGAGAATTCTTTCAACACTACTTCAGCTAAGGCTGCTGAAAGGACTGAGCTGAATTCACAGCAGTCTTAGCACCCTTTGCCAGTGCCAAGATTTTTGTAGATGTGTCAGCAAAGCAGATGTTAAGGACACACTGTTTTATGGATGCTTGCAAGGAGCTCCTCCCACTACATGGGAAAGCCTGGGAAAAAGCCCAAATAGGTTTCTTTGAAAACATGTCAATGAAAGCTCCCATCATGGACTATGAATGAGAAGAAAAACAGGTCATGAAAGGATAATCCAGGAAAATATTTGTAGTAGGGAAAAGGCCATGAAGGAGTCATGGTTGTGTCAAAGAGGCAGGCTAGGAAAATGCTCTATACAGCAAAAGACTGTCAGGACACAAGCACAGTAGCTTGAATTTGTCAAGAGCTGCGAAAAGATGTTGCAAACCTGCTAACTAAGGAGAGACAGGGTAGGAGATTTAGCTGTTTGAATGACTAGAAAAAGCCCTTTGGGATGATTTGTGAAAAAGAACCTAGATTAAGACATAACCTCAATATACAAACCTAAAAAGGCAATTCTATGACATAAACCATCTCAAATTTATTTCTGGTTTTAAGCTCAAATAAGAGGCAGGGTAATAGTGTTGTCCTGAGCAATCAAAGGAAGAACTAGAAGGGAGTGCTTTAGGGGAAATGTTAAAGAGCTCAGTTTTAGCTGTGCAGAGCTGTCAGCAAAATATTGAAAAGGTATCGGAGCTAGAGGTCAACATTTCAGTCTAAAATGGAACATCAGGTAAAGAGCATTAAGATCTCTGAATTGTCAGCTCTGAAATGATTGCTGAATGTGTATGGATGGTGTCACAGAGAAGGGGAAGAAATTTAAGTTGGGGCAGGGGGGGGAAGGTTTCCCCAGAAACCTGAGATGGAGAGAATGAGATAGAAGGACATGCTGGAAAAGTGATTAGAGAAGTCATAGTAAAATTACAGGAGTCATCACAGGAGCCAAGGGAAGCATCAGATTTCCAGGAATGTGGTTAAATGGGTCATAGGCAGGATGAAAGGATGAAGTTGAGAAGCAATTTCAGTAGAAATACAGTCTAGGTAAGGACTGTAGAGCTTTGGGAAGAGCTGGGGTGGTGTTTGCAGAGGCAGGTAGGGTAACAGGGAGAATCAAAAGCATGCTTATATTGTTGAGCTAGCCTTCAGTAGATATCAACTAGCATAGGAAAAAGCATATTCATAATTAAACCTGAACTAACTAGTTTTAACATATAGCTTACTCAGGAAAGGCAAGGTGTATGATCAGGTAGTAGTAACTCATTATATCTGTCAATGTGATGTAAAATATACAAGCTTTTCCTCAGGTCTGCAAATAAATCAACATATATTGCCCTTTGTTTACAAGCTGTTTGTGAAGCAGTCACTAGCTGCTTGAATTTGTGTGGTATTTATAAATCGTGTGCTGACAGATTCCTATGGTGAAGTTTCAGCCTATGGATTGTACAGAAATTCAGTGCTACAGCTGCTGTTCATTCATCATCTACAAGTGCCTGTCCTTAGCAGGAAGACCTCCAGGGACCTCCTAAAGATTCAGAGTAGCTTTGCCAATTCAAAAAGCTAGCGTTATTTCCTTTGAGTCAGAATTGAACAAATGCCCTTTAATCATATTAAGCTTGATTGTGATCTGGAAATGCTATTTTTCAGATGGTCTGTGAGATCAGAGTCCTGAACTCTTGCTTTTTGCTACCCCAGGAGATCAAGTTGTTTATGAGAATTTAATCCTAGCTGGAATCCCGAATCCAAATATATCCAAACTTTGGCACTCATGATCACAAATTTCCTATATAGAATTCTGGATCCTAATTTTGTGGCCAGAGCTTTTCTTTAAACAGCATGTTAAAAATCTACCTGCCAAGCAATTCCAGATTTTATCTTATTTGGAAATCTCAGCCATACTTCTCACTTCAGTGAGCCCCATCCATCAGTCCCTCTATGGATTCTTACACTTGCTTGATTTGCTTTACTTACCTTTGTTTAACAGGACTGAGGTCGTGCTGCAGGGGAAAGGACAGGCTGTTGCGTGCTATGCAGGTGCCCGCCTTGCTGCATAGCCCATCTGGACAGGCATCTAGCTGGAAGAATTTAATATTGAAGTCAATTCGAGTAATACCAAGATAATGACAAGAAACAAACAAATAAAGTAAAATAGCCTTATCAGTAATTATATTAAACTTGATTTGCCCAAAAAGAAAAGCAAATTATAATTTAAAAATAGTAAAAAGTACAAGGTGGCATCTAATAATGACCATTATGTTAATGTTTATGCTGCATGTGGCTGTGGTTGTGACAAAATCATCAATATTGCATGATTTAAGTGTACAAAATGCAATGTACATTAGACAAAAATTTCCTGAGTGTTTGTCAGTTTTGATTTTTATCTCCAACTTGCATTTCTGTGTTTTGATGCAGCAGTTGTCTCCTCCCAGGGCAGAGAGCATGAATGCTTGCTCACTCCCTCAGCGGGAAGGCGAAGAGAATCAGAAGGGGAACAGTGAGAAAACTCATGGGTTGAGATAAAGACAGTTTAATAGGCAAAGCAAAAGCTGCATGCACAAGCAAAGCAAAATAAATAATTCATTTACTACTTCCCATCAGCAGGCAGATGTTCGCCATCACCAGGAAAGCAGGGCTCTATCACACGTAACGATTACTTGGGAAGACAAATGCCATAACTCCAAATGTCCTCCCACTTCCTCCCCCTTTCCTCCAGATTTTATTACTGAGCATGACATCATCTGGTGGGGTCAGCTTTCCCACCTGTGTCCCCTCCCACCCTCTTGTGCACCCCCAGCCTACTCACTGGTAGGGACAGGAGGAGGAACAGAAAAGGTCTTGACGCAGTGCGAGCACTGCTCCGCAGTAACTAAAGCATTGGTGTGTTATCAACACTCCCTTGGTCACAAATACAAAACTCAGCATCCTGTGAGCTGCTATGAAGAAAATTAACTCCATCTCAGCCAAACCCAGTACAACCAGTAAACCAAAACTGTAAGGGTCAGGCCTTGTATTTGTCTGAGAGGAGCCAGATCAAATTTAGCTGTGTGTTTTGCTTATATTATTCTTACTATTCTTACCTGGTTTTGCTGCAAAATGGAATATTTGCAATTTACTAGTGTCCAAGCAAAACTGGAGGAAAGTGACCCATTAGCTACAACGAATGTTACATTTACTCCTAATTTCTGTTTTTTTCTGAATGTCTTTACTACCCTTGTATTATCAGAGTGCTCATCTAAAATAGGTAAAATCATTCAAGTTGTGCCACCTTCACTTTATTGAGTTAAAAAAAAAAAAAAGGTTAGTCCACATAAGATTTATATATCTGTAGCAATATTAATAAGTTATGCCAGCTCTTTTATTCCCTGGTATATTCACAAACTATAAGGCACTATAAACATGTTGTTTTTTAAAATCTATTGTTTGTTTGCTCTTTGCTTGTCAGTGGATGTGCACGCAAGGGAGTCACTCACCGGCATTTTACTTGCACTCTTGCACTAACATAAATGATCAAGGTGTCAAATGGGGAGAATCAGGTCCTGGCTCAAGATTTAAGCTCAGGCCTCCGCACTGCGTCTTCTGGAATTGCACTATGAAGGTCACTGAATGCCCCAGGTGACATTTGGGGGTTTCCTCTTGGAGATTTCCATCTTTGTAAATAATTGCTTCTGAACCTGGACAATTTATATTGAATTACTGACAAATGTGCGTGCACTCAATCAGTAATTTGATTATGGAGAAAAAAAAAAACAACAAAAAGTTAAAAGTTACTGTGATCTGCATAGTAATAATCACACCCATTTCCCATCGTTTAGGTCTGTAAGAACTCCTGACATTTGAAGCTGTCCTACCGAGTTGCCATGGCAACGAGAAAAAAAGGAAACGTCAGATCTGAAGATTGCAGTTTACAGTTACTGTTCTTCACAACTAGGCCTCAGTTGCTCCAGATTCAGTTTAATTTGCAACCTCACTTACTCTGTCCGACTATACCTTGGTGTTTGACAGCCTCTGCCCTAACTTCTGTTTATTAATGGATTCCTCTTGCAAGACGCAAGGTTTATGCCAATTTTCTCGGAATGTTGAAAGACCGTGACATCTAAACTGGACCTTGGGGGAGCAGAAAAAAACAGATTGACTCCATTTTTTTCTATCTGTTGACTTGTTGCTATTCAACTGTTCAGAAAATATTTTGTCTGTGGGTTAGTATTTGTATATGTATGAGTGTATGTATATATATATATTTATATAGAGAGAAGAGTTATACGACAGGTTTAGCTTTTATAAAATATTCATCTGGAGGGTGCAAGGGAGAAAGCAGAATAATACAGCCACAGATGAATTGTAACTATCCTACCACAGCTAAACCTACTGTATCTGCTGTTTCTAGTGTGGCCAGAAGGAGAGAGCCTATTGCAATCACACCGCTACAACAGCCGCTTTGGCGACACAAATAAAGCAGTGGCACTTCTCGTACCTCAGGTTCAGCAAACAAGAAATGCAAGTCCCCCTGGCTTGTTTCTGATCTGAACTGCTTTCCTTATGCCCCAAATGGAGTTTAGGATCCAGCAGGAGCACAGTGGGAGCAGCGCTGGGAGGTTCTGCGGAGCTCTGATTTGTGAGGCAGCAGGAAGCAGACGGCTGCCACCGGCACCGTGTGGGTCAGGATTTACAGCAATGGGACTGCTGGGCCTGGCTTTAAAGGGGCTAAAGTCAGCTTCCTCTGTGTTCCTGCAGATAATTATTTGCTGGGGCAGTTTACAAGGTTGAAGTCTTTCATCAGCTCTGCAGACACAGTTCAGTAGGTGGGTGTCAGCGTACGAGGAGCTGATTAGAACAGCAAAAGCAAAGTCTTTCTCAGAAGCGCTGGTCTCTCTCTCAGCCTCTATGCAGCTGCCATTACATACATAAGCGCAAAGAGGACAACAGATGCCCTATTATATAAATATATTCACACACACATATATATAGTTTTGAATATATATATACATACATACACATGTACACACAGTTTTCCAGTTAAGAGTAACAAGAGCATTTCTTTGTGTGTGTAAACTTACCACACTTGTTTGCAGACATGGGAAAAAAAGGGTGTTCGTTATACATGAATATGAATCCTTTTTTATTCTGTGAGCATGTAAGGTTAAAAAAAACACCAAACCAACTTCTAATTGTATCAAGATGATCATCTTGTTAATAAATTGTAAATGATCCATCAAAGCTCACACCAAATTTTTATAAAATTAACACAAAAAGTATACTAGTGACAGACTGTGGCTTTTATTAGAGCTTGCCAGTAACTAGGGTAAGGTAAGTGTCTTAGAATATTTTAATAAACTTGCTTATTTAAAGTTTAAACAAGAAAGCTTCCTTATGCAATAGAACTTTGCAGCTGCACTCTTTAGTTAGCATTTTTACAGCACTTATGAATCATACTGTATGTTGTCTTTACTACAGTGAGATTATGAGCATATCTTCCACACCACGTATATGTTTCAATAGTAAAGCTTTTTGGAAGCATTAAAAAGTCCAGACATACATTTAGTTTTCCATAATGCTACACTAGATATTAAATGTGTGTTGATGGTTAAAAATTGCTGTACAATAGCTTTTCTCTGACTTCCTGTATTGTACCAAATATGAAACAGGGGTTTTTTTGTTGTTTGTTTGGTTGGGTTTTTTTTAATCAAAAGGAGTAATAACAACAGTGACAGAGGAAAAATTAGTTTGTGTTTTGAAGTTTCCTAACATTGAAGATTTTTTGATAAGATACGAGCTGCCTTCAGAAAGGAACCTATTTTTCTCTTCCAGCTTAACTCCTGCAGTCCTGACCAAGCAAAATCTCCCACTGACCTTGTTTCTCTCACAGCGTGCTCTAGGTATTTCAATTACCAAAGGGGTACTTTGAGGTTAGTGGGAATTTCTGTCGAGCAAGGGCTTCAGCAGTGGGCTGTTAGGAAGCTGCAGGCATTTAAGCAGGAAAGTACCTGATCTGAAACATTAACATGGGCATGCTTCTAGTTCTCTTTTTCTGCCCATGCCTTGTAATAATCATATGCTGTTGCTTTATCATCAACAATCATGTCTTATAGAAAGCAAGCAAACAAAAAAAACCAGTTTACACGCAAATTTTTCAAAAGGAAAAAAAAAAATATCAACGAATGCATTAACACCACTGGATTTTCAATGTGTATATTCAATGAATACATCCAAATGCACCCAAAGATAAACCGCACCCTATTCCTTGATCTACAAAACCTCTATCTTGAATAAAACAAATTATAATATCCTCCCCCACAAATACTCTTTTTCTACTTGCTTTCTTCCTCTCTCTGTCCAGCAGAACCCACCTCTGGAAAGACTCCCATTGACATTAGTGTCATTTCTATCAAGCACCAGATAAAGCTACCCTTTTCTCATTTAAACCAAAGCTCACATAGCATTTGATGGATCATTCCAAGGGCATCCAAAATGAGGAACAAAGAAGAATCTCTCCTGCCTGGAACTACACTAACAATGGGAAGACTCTACCACTTGGTGCCCAAGGATGAAAGATCCTCCTTGGATAATAATGCAACCTTTGGAGATGTAGAGAGGTCAGTATCAAGGCTGAAACTCTGAAGCAAGATGCATCAAAAGCCTTCTTTCACCTTTATCACTTTATTTCTGCACCTAGATTAAAGCCTTCCAGCCTTTACTGTAAGTCTCTAGGCTTCAGACGGAGCTGATCACTGGACTACATAAGCATGCAAAGAGAAGATGAAGCCGCCATGTTAATGTTTCTCCCTCTCTGTACCTGAGAACAAACAAACCCCATTTGACAAGAGATTGTGACACTTTCTGTAGTGTTTTATGAGTGAGGAAGAGTATTAGAATCTGAATTTTCCTACCTGAACAGGATTGTTGGCTCTGGCTCAAAAAATGATGACCATTTCCTGAAACAAAGGAGCAAAAATAATTTATTAGTATAGAATTCACAAAATTGGTTGTAATTTTTTTATGGTTAATTATGTTTAACACTTGTTCAGCCAAGCTTGCTGTTTTTACAACATAGCACTTATTTCTACCTAGCTATATGGTCACTACAACGTTTATTTCAGTCTATATTTGTAGACATACAATGCTGTCCAGAGTCAGAAAGGCAGTGAACTTGTTGATTTTCATTTTGTAACATGCACAAAATTTCTTGTGGAAAAATAATTTCACTTGAAAAGAGTATGTGCTGTTAAAACACAAATTGGGTATAACAATCAGTGAGAGGAGTTTATTAGCAAGACAAAGGTCTCATTTGTGGTGTACTTGCTAATTGAACCCTTCTCTGTACACCTCATGTGTGTGCTTTTGCAGTATGCCTGTGTGCATTATTAATGTACATTTTGTTCAGTAACTGTAAGTCTGGAGATTAAAACAAAGGGAAATGAGCTGAATTTCCTACTGGGTATCAAGGAAAATTAGGTAGGAGTGGAACATTGGCTAACACACTTTCTGAGCCCTGTTCTCATCACATTTACACTGGTATAAATCAAAAAGCAACTCCAGTACTAGAATTGTTTGAGATTCAGTTAATCATATTTAGATGAAATTTTTTATCTAAAACCTCCCCACGTATTGCTTTTACTGGTCTGCTGTGAACAATATAGCAGCAATATTTGTCACAGGATCATTAAGTGGTTATATATTATTGCAAGTCTGTCTTTTGTGACATACAGAGAAACCTACAGCTTGGATGCCTCCCACAGATGACTCACTTCCTTCACCGACCACTGTCAGATGTCTCTAAGGCACCCACCACGATTTGGTTTAACCTTTATGTGAAATGGCTGTGGCCTGTAATCAAACAATTCATCCTGGTCTCCTGCATAGTTATTTAAGTTAAAGATCACTATAGAACAAACCTCATTTATTAAATTATGGACTTACAATCAGTTTGTACAGCCTTAGCATAAATATTTTTATCGCTAGAAAAAGACAGACATATGTTATATTAACAACTTTTACATCATTGGTCTTTGCAAAGACCTCCTGTCTGAAATACTGAGAAAGCTGCCAGTTTTCGTCTCAATTGCTACTGATACACTCAGACACTTGAAACATAGCAGAATTTTGTACACAAATACTTTTACATCACTGTTTGTCTAAAAGCTAAGTTTCTTTCTGAATGGATTTAATACTGTCTTAATTTAAAAACCACACAAAAAAAATTATATTAAAGTCATATCACCTTGAGAATACCAAGTCTAAGGCAAAAGTCTGATCTTATCTTCCCTTTATTGCATCTCTAGAAACTCTGTTGTCTGAGAGATACACTGTCCGAAGCTAACAAAAAGATAACTAACTACAATAGCAATTATTTGCTTTCAGTTAACTCTGTGGTCTATACTCTTCAGAATTAACATGCAAAGTACCTTAGTAATTATTATAACTATTCTATTTAAAGTAGATATAGCTGACTATTTTACTACGTAAAAAACACAACCCATTGACTAGACTGTTCTCTTGCCTCACATCAAGATGTGCTAATTGATTTATATTTGTCCAAATGAGATGGATACACTCATACGCTCTCAGTGGAAAGTTACTAGTTGCACAATTGCTATGTGTGTGTATATATATGTAGATATATAGAGATATACACATACACATATAAATGTGTATATATATAATATATGCAGATGGAGGGAGACTAATACAACATGGGGACTTGGAACAAGCAGTTTAATTCCATGAAACGTGGATGAATACATGAGTTAAGGGATAACATGGGTTACCTATGTCAAGCCAGTCTGCTTTAAAGAAAATAAAGGCAAAAAAACCCCCACACACTAAAACCCAGGCTTATCCCAACTCTCATGTTGTATTGATGCTACTTTTAGCTGTCCCCTCTTAACACAATTATATCATTTGAAGATATGCATAATTGTTTACTGACTCATTTTTGGTTGTCTGTATATCAGCAGGTCACCAGTAGTGGAAAGGGAAGGGTTTATAGCCAGAATTCTGCATTACTGTGCTTTCAGGGGGACAGCTATTTGGGAAAATTTCATCCACCCTTTGAACATCACATTCCTCCTCTGCATCAGCAAACGACTGCTTTCGATGACTTGGGGTTAAAATGAATGAGGTCTAAAGACAGTCACCATGTGTATGCACACGTGTACACACCCTGCCTGGGACTGTAAAATAAGAGCATGTCTGGTGGACCATGATGGTGAATTCAGGACAAAAAAAACTGTGTTGTTACTGCCATTTCAGACAGAACCCTCCTGTAAAATCATATTTGCCCCATAACAAACTCTGTCTCTAAGCTACCACCAAGACTTTTTTTGTTTTTGTTTTTTTTTTAATTTCAAGCAAGGAGGAAAATATTTTGTTTAATTTTAAAAATACTTAATTCAGCTACTTTTCCAGTTAATCGTTCCTTTGGGCCCTAGTTGCTGAATTGCTTGCTGTTTCTGAGGTGTAAATAAACGTTTTGATTTATGATGTGGTTGCAAAGAAACTTGTAATTTATTTGTGAAATGCTCAAATAAAGGATGTATGGGCTTTTACCTTTTGTCTGGACATAGACCTTCCTGATGGAATACAACAGGAATGGAGGACTGCAAAGTGACCTTGAGATTGCCAAAGGGTCTGCACTAAACACCAAAAACTCCCACTTTGCTCTAAGTAAAAGAGATAAATTGCAGCCTTCATCATCACCATGCCATGGGTATAGGATGAGAATTTAGAGGCTAGAGAGGTAAATAAGGTTTGACCACACAAGAAAGCAGCAGCAGGTTATTCAGCATCCATTCAGGTAACAGCAAGGATTTGCCTTCTAAAGCCTCACTTTCATTACAGAGCGTTGCACTGAGCCAAATCTGGGTCAGATGTCCCTAGGCTGGACTCCGTGCAGGAACTTTAATGTATTTTTTTGTTGCACTTCTTTTCTGCTTCACCTGGCCACCTTCCCCACCTACCACTATCAGTTCAGCTTATATAGAACAGCCAGCCTCAAAAATTTAACGTTGTAAGCACCACAGAAACAGGCTGAACAAATGTCAATGGGCGAGGACCACCGTGGGATGCTACAGGACTGCAGTTCTGTCACTGCTGTCACGGCTGATTACAAGATGGCTTTTAACAGCTCGTATGGTCAATAGTCTGTAGTCATGGCTGATGTGCTCCCTCCCTGTGCTTAACGCCTCCTTAAGATGTACATGCGGATGTGGTCTACTTGTTGCCTTGATTCAGAAAAATCTTACTCCAAAATTTAGAGCCCTTATTGCCTTTAAGCCCAAACTGCTCTGGAACAGGTTGCCCCAAAAAGCTTGCACTGCTCTAATGCCTGTCTGTTCCTGGAACAGCAGATTTCACTAACGAGGCTTATAATGTTAGCATGTTGTGTTCCCAGCAGCAGGACTAAGGTTGATTAAGATACTATTTTATTTTTTCACTGAGCTCCCATAATTTGAAGGGAAAGGTGGGGTGTGCTTTCAAGTGCTGTCAGCTGCTCCCAGACATTGCAGTAGGTTGAATAAATAAATAATTCTGGCCCAGAATTCAGGGCAGAAAAAAGAATAGAAGGCTAGGTAGAATGAAAAGCCTGCAGGAA